ATAAGGACTAGAATGGGCTCTGCTGATGAAATTAGAGCACAAATGATAACAGTGGAAAAAAGTATTATATCTGCACGAGGGATATGCAGGAAAACATTCTTACTTCTACAAAATACACTGTTCAGTAAAGAATTAACCTTGCCCAGCCCAGCCGGTGTTGCTCAGCGGTTGAGCATCCACCCAGGAACCAAGAGGTCACCGTTCGATTCCCCGTCAGGGCATATGCCCGGGTTTTGGGCTCGATCCCCAGTAGGGGGCGTGCAGGAGGCAGCCCATTGATGATGTTTCTCTCTCACCAATGTTTCTCTCTCTCTCTCCTTTTCCCTTCCTCTCTCTAAAAAATCAATAAAAACATATTTTTTAAAAAAAGAATTAACTTTGCCCAATGAGACGTATGGTCTTTGCCCTCAGCTCTCAGGAGGTGATCTCGAAGGCCCCAGAATGTCCTACTTGATAAGAGTGTCTTTCTTACCCAGAGGCCTTGGGCCAGACCAGACAGTTTAACAGTGTGATTTATGGTGACGGCTTTGGGCCACCTGATACCAGCTTGATTTCCAGAGGGGCTGGAAACTAAGGTTAGCCACATAGGTGTCCAACCGCACCTACATGACCAAGCTCCCAAAAAACTCTGGACACCAAGGCTCGGAGGTAATACACCATGTGTACTGTCACACATCATTGCCGGGAAGAGTTAGTGCTGTCGCCCTTGGGCGTGGCTCAGCGGTTGAGCATCAAACTAGGATCCAGGAGATCACAGTTCGATTCCTGGTCAGGGCACATGCCCGGGTTGTGGGGTAGATCCCCAGTCGGGGGCGTGGAGGCAGCCGACCAATGACTCTCTCATCATTGATGTTTTTCCCTCTCCCTCTCTCCCTCTGAAATCAGTGTAACCATGAGTATAACAGCTTTCAGTGAGTTCTGAGAGTCTTCCAGCTAATTATCAAGCCTTGGGGTACTACTGGGGACCTCTGAACTTGCAACTGGTGTCTGACAGAGTGTAGTCTTGGGGATTCCCAAACCCTGCATTTACACTGAAGTATTTGGAGGTAAAGGGAGATGGTATATGTAAGTTACCTGCAAATTGTTCAGGAAAAAAATATTATGAATATGCATACATTTTCATAAATATACAAAAATTATCTGGAGAAAGAACATGTGTATAAATGACAAAGCAAGGGGGTAAAATGTCATTACAGGGGGACTTGGGTAAAAGCCATATGGGTGTTCTTGTTCTATATTTTTACTTTTGTAAATGTCCTGTAAGTTTAAAGTTACTTACAAATACGTTGTTAAAGTGAGAAACAAAATACCTCTGAAAAATCAAGTTAAAAACAGTTACTGACATCCTGAGAAACAAAAAGCTGGAGCAACTCACTGAACTGATTTCATGACAAAGCAGTGGGGCAGGCCCACGGTGTGCTCACTGAGAGTTCAAAGGACAGAAACATCTTGTCTTTGCCGCGCAGGGCTTGTTAGATGCCCAAGCTCAGAGAAGGATTTCAGGAGTCCCAGAGCTTCAAACAACTGAGCAAACAAAGAGGGCGACCCTGAGTTACAGAGGGCGCCTGTCCTCACCCACAGAGACCAGGTTCCAGAAGTTCTCCAGCATCACGTCTCGGTACAGCTTCCTCTGGGACGGGTCCAGCAGCCCCAGCTCCTCCTCGGTGAAGACCACAGCCACGTCCTTGAAGGTCACCAGCTCCTACACCACCAAACACACACAGGCTATGCTTACGGAAGAGGGGCAGCAATGAGCAAATGTAAAGGGTGGGAAACTGGTCTGGCCTCTGGGGCAGCTGCGGCAGGATTAAGGCGCTGCTTCCTATCTGCCTTCCACACTGCTAACTCCACCCACCAAAGGGGCTGCAAGGAAAGGAAGCCTTACACTTTAAATTGCTACCTTTTGTTAGCACACCTACAGGGAAGTCCCTGGAACTCTGCTGCATCATGAGCTGCTACTGTCTTAAAGTTTATCAATAATGTCACCTGCTCCAGAAAAGATTTAGTTCTGCCTGTGTGTGATGAGTCTATTTTCCCTTTTACACACACACTCCGCTTATTTAATTTGCCAGCTTACAGGCTATCAGTCACCGTGACTGTTTAAGTGTCTTGTAACGTTTTGCTATAGGGAAATTTAATTTTTTTCTTTAATTTTCACCCAAGGATATGTTTTTACTGACTTTGAGAGAGCAGAATGGAGAGAGAGAAACATCACTGTGAGAGAGAAACAGATCAGTTGCCTCCCTATGCACCTTGACTGGGGATTGAACCAGAAACCTAGCTATGTGCCCTGACCAGGAATTAAACCCACAGCCTTTTGCTGGATAGGATGATGCTCCAACCAACTGAGTCACCTGGCCAGGGCGGGAAAGTTAAATTTTTTTATAGAGACCTGTTCAATACTGCACTTCTGGCTGGAGCTCCAAACATCGCAACTTCAGGTCTTGGTCTCTGAATGAGAACTGTGGATGGCTCTGAAATTTTCTGCTTCTCTTTACACCCAGTTAGTATGCCTGATATTCTTGACCCAGATGGAAAAGGCTTTGGAGTGGGTCAGACACTTGCCTTCTACAAGAACTGGAATAGGACCTGAACTCACATGAACCGTGCAGACGATTCTAAGTTCCCCTCAGAGCCATGAATAAAGTGAAAGATGGAAAGTGCCTGCATCCTGTAGTATGATTTAAGTTTTTAAATTAAGTACCCGCATTGCTCTAATAAAATAAATTAATATATGAATGGTGAAACACACAGACATACATATAGAAAGCTTCAGGTCCTGGGAAGAAAGGATCTAGCTCTTTTTTATGAAAACATCTAACACTATGTGTTTCTGAGTTCACCTCATTCAGTGTGATTCTGTGAGACAAAACCATTTTTAGGTATTCTTTTTACAAAGTACTTCAGGGACAAAACCCCCACAACTTTTCTTAGTTCTGAGTCCCTGGAACATAAGGACAAATTATATTAGAATTCTCTCAGAACTGCTTTTTAGGTGAAGATGATATGTAGGAAAACTGATACTGCTGTGCAAAACTGCAAGACTCCCCGAGAACTTAAAAGTTTGTGAATGGGGAAGAGTTAAAAGGCGGGGGGAGAACATTCATAGAAGTCGTATTATTAGATGACAAAAATTAAGTGCTATAATTTTAACTGAAAATAAAAATGAATTCAAAATTGTATCTATTATTGCAAGTACAGTTATGAATGCACATAAAAAATGACCACAGGGGGAGAGGGGTGGTATGTAAGCAGGGTAAGAGCTTGAGGGTCTTTCTTTCTTTTAAATTTCTATTCTCTTTTACACTATTATTTGTGAAATAAAATGTAACAAAAAACTAAGCAAATTTTTAAAAACTGAAACAAAAAGCATGCCACGTGAGTGGTAGTAAGTATGCACTGTCATTCTTTATACTGGCTAAGAGAAGAAAGGAACCACTTACTGAGAAATGAAATAACGTGCTAGGTGACTGGAACAAAAATCCCACTCACCTGGAACTTGGTCATTTTCTCCTGTTCCTCGGGAAGGGCAGAGACCTGAGAAGGCAGAGCGAGATAAGAAAGAAGCCATGAGAGAAAGGGAAACCGGTCTTTCAGCAAATTGGAGAAGGGTGTCCCCTCCCCCAGGCAGACACTGCCACACACACCTGAGCAGGAAGAGAGTGAGCAGGATCCCGCCACCACCCGGCTATTCGGAAGGATGCCTGTGTGCACGAGACGGCCACCAGGGCTGTCCCCAGCAGTCCTCACACACCTCGTGGCTCCTGAGGTGTTCGTTCTGATCCTGGGAAATGTGAGAAAGGCGAGGCGGTGGGATGTCCTGGTTAAAAGTGGACTCTGTTGACAATTCCTTTCAAAACCTGACATTGCTTTATGCTGGCTATACATTTACTATATATCGGTGCTGCTGTATATGTCTCAATCCATGGAATAAGCCCCTCTCCATGTTTCACTTCTGTGACCCACAACAGTAGGATAACAGCACCAACACTGTAAGACTGTTGTGAGGAATATATGTGTGAGTAGTGGAAAACACATCGTTTCCTATGGTCTTGTAGCTGCAGAGAAGCAGATACTACTCGACATCACAAAACTGTCCTTGCAATTGTGTCTTGTAAGACATCTAGGTGGCAGGGATTATGGCTTCTTATTAAATAATCCGTGGCCTGGGTAATAACGTATGTTTAGACATTGAGACCACCCTTCTGGAAGGTTTAATGGCCGGTGAATATTGTTCCTAAAGCGGGAGGGGCTCAAATGGTACACCTGCTTCCTACAAGGCTACGATGAAAGACTTAAAAAGCCCATGATGCTACTACATTTCTCTTCTGTGAAGTGCTAGTTCCATGCTCCACCCTTGGAAGGACTCGGAAACCAGGAGTTAAATTTCTTGGGTTCTTCCTCAAGATTATTCACTGTTCTCAACAGATATTTACTGTTATTTACCTTACTTACTGTTCCCAAGCAACATCAAGGTGACCCGTGAGAAAGAAAGGACTCAAAAAAGGGCTAACCCTGGGCTATGAATAAGGCAGAGCCTTTTAGCACCACCAGAGAGAGGTTTTCTGCTTCTCTAGTAGAATGCCCACCCCTCCCAAGTCCCTGCCCACATGGCTGCTGCTCTAGAATCCACAGAATATATGTATAACTACCAAGAACAAGTGTTAACTTGGCCACATAATCAGCAGTGAAAGAGTTGAGCTTTCTTTCACTTACCCAACATTTGTGGGTTACCTTCTAAAAGGGATACAGTTCCTAGATCTGTATTTTCTCAGAGCCTGGTGTGGGAGAACAGTTAGGTAATCAGCAATTATAACACAGAGATAGATTCCAGGGTCAAATTTAAGCAGGGTCCGTGGGGAGAACATGGAAGGGGTGCTCAAACCCAGGCTGGATGAGGGGGCAGCATGGGCTCAATGGAGAAAATGTGGCCTGATCTTAGCCTTGGAGGGTGACAGAGCTGTATTAGCCACTAAGAGCTCCTCGGGGTACTCCAACAGAATTCGGGTCAGAGGGTTCCTGGGGCAAATGAGGAAGCAGAAAGGTGGGTGAGAAGTCAAAGAGTCAAATCCTGTGCTTTAGAGGAATTGCCTCATTTAATTCTCACAAGCTGAGGGATTGGGACAGTTTTTACAGCTGAGAATATTGGCAAAAAAGCTAAAGAGAAGATACATCTGATGGACATCATTAGTCATTAAGGAAATGTACATTGTAATGAGATACAAATACGCGCCTATTAGAATGTCTAGAATTTAGAAAGACAACAATAAGTTCTGCCAAGGATGTGGAGCAACTGGAACTCTCAAACATCATTAAACAGTTTGGCTGTTTCTTATAAAGTTAAACATACACTTTCCATATTACCCAGCAATCCCATTCTTGATTATGTATTCTAGAGAAATAAGCACAAAAACATGTACACAGACGTTCACAGCAGCCTATTCATAACTGCCCGAAACTGGAAATAACCCAAATATCCTCCAACAGGTGAATGGATAAACTACGGTATGTCCATAATTACGATATTAACCAGCATAAAAACAAATGAAGTACTAATACATACAACAACTTGGATGAATGCCAAAGACATGCCGAAGGAATGCAGCCTCAAGCCCTGGCCAGTTTGGCTCAGTGGTTAGATCTCCGTCCCACAGACTGAAGGGTCTGTGGTTCTATTCCCGTCAGGGTTGCACACCTCAGTTGCAGGTTCAATCCCTGGCCCCCCTCGGGGAGGCAACCAATCCATGTCTCTTTCTGACATCCATGTTTCTCTCTCTCCCCCTTCCACTCTCTCTGAAAAGCAATGAAAAAAAAATCCTTGGGTAAGGATTTAAAAAAATAAAAAGCCTCCTAGAATACTATTTAGCAGTCAATGTTTAAACATGATGTTATGACTCATGCCCAAGTACCCCCCATCCTTTCCTGCATTACTCAACAAATACCATGGCATCTTCGAAGCCGAAGAATTTGGGGATGAGTGAAGGAACTATCTTCTCCCCTAAGAGCTCAGAGAGGATAAAATATGCTAAATCCTACGCAGGTGAGGCTCTAAGGGCCATTCCTTCCTCCTTGCAGCCCTCGGTAAGGAGCCAGAGCTGAGAAATGAGAGCTTCATGAACTCCCGCGCACATTACAGCGGACTCCCAGGCAGCGGCGAGGCCAATTACTGACCCTCTCCAATAATTCAAGTTAAAAGTGTTACTAGAAATCCGGGTACAGCCCGCTTCCTTCAGAGATCAGAGAAGAACCAGGGGGCTCTGACCCCATCCATCCCGGGTTCACAGCTTTCGGAGAACTGAGCGCTTCTCCGGGAATTACAAAGCGCGGGTAACAGAGACGGATCTGTGCCAAAAGCCAGGCTCAGCTTTCTACTTCTCCACTCTCACTAAACTCTCAAAATACCTTTATTAGGGAGACTCACTAACACCAACTTAAAGAGGAAACGCAGCCAGAGGCATTAGATGCTCTCCGAATATTCCATTGCTCCGAGGCGGCGGCGCTGCCCGGGGGAAGGGAAACGGGCGGGAC